AAAAAAAAAAAAAAGGACACAGGAATCAGGTGAGAAGAGTTTCCACTGGCCAATGTGGATAATCTGACCACAGAAGTAGGAATGGAATTTGATTGTGCTAATCGCAATTAAAGTGAATTCAGGAATCTGCACCATGATGCAGAATCAAAGAGAGGAGGAAGAAGGGCAAGTGGAGGGAAGGAGAATGAAAACGAGAAAAAAAATGGAACAGGTATTCTTTTTTTAGACAGAAAAGACAGTTAATGAGGAAAAAAGAATGAACTGCAAAGTCATCGTACTATAATAGTTATAGAAAGTTCATCAGCGTATGCTATTCCACTGACTGAAGGGCTGTTAGGGACAAAACATTCACCAGCTTGCAGCCTATGCCTGAAAGTACTGATCTCCATCGCAGAAGGCAGTTCTGGGGGACAGAAAGGAGCCAGAAGTACCCGGATCTGGTGGGGGTACTGATGTCGCTGACGGTCTGGGCTCCCGGAAGTAAAGCGAAGTAACGGAAAAACACGGATTTCCAAACTTTCCAAAGTTTAATTAAGACTTATAACTTGAATCTAATTACGAGGGGACACTTCCAGAAAGCGATGCGATCTGCAAGACGTCTGGCCTGCACTTCAAACACGACAAAATTGGAAGTCACTATATAAAGCTATGAGAAATCATGCAACCATCAACAAGCTATGAGAAATCAGGCTAATCCTTCGTCGATCCGGCATCGAATATAGGTGTGAATGTAGGTGACATTTTGCAATAGCAAAGGAAATATACATATAAATATTGTATCAGACATGATTGAAAATATATTCAATTTCTGGCACGTGGCATGACAATCTACCAACCTAGCATTATACCGTATTATTCATCTGGTTCAGGGAGACAATACAGTGATAAAGGAAGGCAAACGGCGGAATGATTGCTTTCGGTGGCTGGATAAACCGGATGCTCTTCACAGTACGTTTCCTTCAGTTTTTCAGTTGATTAACACATTTTTAAGCCAAATAACTGGGGTATATAAAAATATGAACGAATTTACTTCCTTTGGGTGGTGGAGGCTCACGTGGACGAGAACCACCCACTTCAGAAGGTTCCTTTCCCGAGGTCTCCCCACGTTTCCTCTAAGTGGTGGAATAGCAGGTGCCTCTCAGCCAAGAGTGGTTTCCGGGTTCCCCAGCCTGGCCCCACCCCTCCGCGGACCACTCACTGCAGGCGTGTATGTGAGGCGGGCCTGATGCTGACGATGACCAATGGGAGGCGAGACGGGCGTGGTCTCTCGCGTGGGCGTGGCCGGGGCGGGGCTACGCGCAGGCTCCCAGGCCAGCTCCTCGGCTTCCCCACCTTTTTTCGTTTCCCGCATCACTGCCCAGTCCGGCCGTGGCTGATCCTGCGTGGAAAGGCAGCCGTCGCGGGTAAGTTCCTGGCTGGCGCTTCCTTCCGCTCGCTCCCTTTCACGACGGTGCCTGGCGGGGGTGTGTGTGATTGGGACCTGGATCTCCGGGGAAGCGTGTTCGGGGCTGCCGGTGCCCTCGGTTGGCTCCGTGCGGTGCAGCGCGCGGTTCCCGGGGCTGGGTCCTCCTCTCCCGGTTGCTGCTGCCTTGCTTGGGTCGGGCCGGTTCTGCGGGAGCTGCTGTTGATGGTTGCCGGGCAGCTCCTCTCGTGTCGACGTGGAGCCGGTTCTGGCTGCGCGGTGTTTGCACCCCGGCTGCAGCCGTTAGTCCCTCCTCCGGGGATGTCCGCCCACTCGTGGGCTCGTGCCCCGCGCAGTCCCCGCGCCCTGGGCAGCCGCGGCACCGCGAGCGTCCTGCGCCGGGGAGGACGGGAATTGCTCGCGGAGCAAGCCAGGTTGGCTCCTCTTTGGCAGAACCGTCTGAATGAATTTGCTCGGCAGGTTAGTGTAGCCCTGGATGTTAAGGTCTTTGTACGTAATGTCTTCCCAAATAATCTGCCGCATTGCTCCTGCGCGAGAAAGGCACAGCAGAGTCGGAACTCCCCTGCAGATGATGCACGCCTCCAGCCTGGGCAGGGCAGCGCGCTAGCCTTGTAAATGGCCTTGGCGTAGCTGTTGCTGCTGCCAACCCTTGGGCTCCCAGTTCGTTCACGTGAAGTGAGACAGAATTTTCTAAGATTTCTTTTCTTTTTAAATACCAGTAAGGGGCTTGAACTGAGGGAGGGTCTCTTAGCTGTTTTGTTAAAGGCTGACACTCCATCACTTGAACCACAGCTCTGCTTTCGGCTTTGTGCTGGCTAATTGGGAGATAAGAATCTCACAGGAGCCCTATGCCGGTGGCTCACGCCTGTAATCCTAGCTACTCAGGAGGCTGAGATCTGAGCATCGCAGTTCAAAGACAGCCCAGGCACGAAAGACGGGGAGACTTACCTCCAATAAACCACTGGAAGTGGCGCTGTGGCTCAAGTGGTAAAGCACTCGCCTTGAGCTGAAGAGCTGAGGGACAGCGCCCAGGCCCAGAGTTCAAGCTCCACAACCGACCAAAAAAATATATATATCTCACAGGGTTTGTTGTTGTTGTTTTGTTTTGTTTTGTTTTTCTGCTCAGGCTGGTTTTGAACCAGGATCTCAGTTTCTTATGTAGTTAGGATTATAGGAGTGAGCCACCAGCACCCAGCTAAAATTTCTTTCAAACCTTACGTTTTGTAAGACCGTGCTGATTTTTTCAAACTTTGTTTTGCACTTTAAAAAAAGAATAGGAAATAGGAAATGAAAGTGCAATAAGATTAATGAGAGCACATGGAGACTGGTTAGCGTTTATAACTCCTGAAAAGAGAACACCAAATAAAACAAAGAATTTCTGGAGAGTTATGTAAGAGAAACTTGGAAAGCTTTCAGAAGTTCCAGCAGCTAGTACTGTACTCAATTAATTACCTCTCCTTATAGCTGTATACCGAAGGCCAGATAATAATAATATTACATAACCATAGGAGACAATATATCATAGAGAGGATGAGTAACTGGACCATATTTTTTTTTTTGTCACAGTCCTAAGGTTTGAACTCAGGGCCTAGGCATTGTCCCTGACCATTTGTGCTCCAGGCTAGCACTCTTCTTCTTGAGCCATAGCTGCAATTCTGGCTGTTTGGTGGTTAATTGTAGATAAGAACCTCAGGGACTTGCCTGCCAGGGCCTGGCTTAGAACTGGAACAGCTGTCCTCAGATCTCACATCCTAAGTAGTTAGGTTTACGACTTGAGTATGTGTGTATGAGTATTGAGTATGGTACTCATGCTCTTGCTCAGCTTTTTCTTCTCAATGCTGGAGCTTGAGCCACATTTTAACTTTACTCTGGGCATGGTGCTGTCCCTCAGCTCTTCAGCTCAAGGCTAGTGCTCTACCACTTGAGCCATAGCGCCACTTCTGGCTTTTTTTCTTTTTGCTTATGTGGTACTGAGGAATCGAACCCAGGGCCTCAGACATGCAAGGCAAGCGCTCTACCCCTGAGCCACCTTCCCAGCCCCATTACCTTTTTTTTTCCTGGATAATTGAGGATAACTGATTAACTGGAGATGCTGGTTAAATGACTGTCTTTGATCTTGGATCCTCAGATCTCTGTCTCCTGAGTAGCTAGGGTTATAGTTGTGAGCCACTAGCACCCAGCTTAACCATACATCTTGAATGTGAGGACAATCTTTGAAACTCTTAATTTGTATAGGTATTTCTGTTCATAAGGAACTTAAAGATAAGTTCTTTAAGTTCTGCATTACTCCAGAAAAATTCCACGTTTATCCTCCCATGTGGTTTTGTGGTGCTGGGAATTGAACCCAGGGCTTCCTCTATACTAGACAATTGCCCTTCCTCTGAGCTATACTCCCAAACCTCAATTTTTTTTTGTGTGTGTGTATGCCAGTATTAGGGCTTGAACTCAGGGACTGGGCTCTATTCCATTAGTTTTTTCATTCAATGGTGAGCCACAGCTCTACTTTTGGCCTTTTTGGTGGTTAATTGGAGATAAGTCTTAGACTTTATACTCTGGGCTGACTTCGAACTGTGATCCTCAGATTTTTAACTCCTGAGTAGGTAGCTAGGCTATCCTCAGATTTTTTTTTTTTAGCCAGCCTTTGGAAGACAGTATTTGACTACAAAGTAGTGCATAGAGAAAATACTTGGATGCACTTCAGAGAAGCATTGATTTGAATGCCCTGTAGCACTAAGGAAAGGCACTTTACTTCTTCTCAGAGACTTGTTGCTTCTGTTGGGAAGTGTGGATGGATAATGACATAGGGTTGTGAGGATTAAATCAAGTCCTTTGTGTGGAAAATGTATAACAATGTCTGACATCAAGTATTTAGTAATAATCACTGGTACTAGATTTGTGTTCTTGCTGATGGCTGGTGGCTCATACCTGTAATTCTAGCTACTCAGGAGGCTGAGACCTGGAAGAACACCATTTGAAGCCACTTACTTCTGGCAGAAAAATCCAAGAAACTCCATTTCTAATTAACTGGCAAAAGGCTGAAAATGTTTCTCAAGTGGTAGAGTGCCATCCATAAGCAAGAAGGCCAAGCATGTGCAAGGCCCTGAATTTAAGCTGTAGTACTACCAACACACACACACCACCACCAACTACAACAACATCAATAACAACAAACTACCTCAAATTGTGTTTAAAATAAAGCAAAGAGGGCTGGGAAGGTGGCTCAGCAGTAGAGCGCTTGCCTTGCATGCATGAGGCCCTGGGCTCAATTCCTCAGCACCACATAAGCAAAAAGAAAAAAGCCGGAAGTGGTGCTGTGGCTCAAGTGGTAGAGCGCTAACCTTGAGCTGAAGAGCTGAGGGACAGTGCCCAGGCCCAGAGTTCAGACTCCATGACCAGACCCAAAAAAATAAAATAAAATAAAAATAAAGCAAAGAAAAGCAAATCAGATGTAGTCTGACTTAGAGTTTGATCAAAACAGGAAGCCAGTGGGAAGTAGATATCTTTTTCTGACCCTAGATTTCTGTTCACTTTTCTTTTTCTTTTTTTTTTTCTTTTTATTGTGAACATACTGTACAGAGGGGTTACAATTACATGGGCAAGAAAATGAGTACATTTCTTATCAAGCATTGCAGCCTCCTCCTTTGTTTACCCTTCACA